AATGAGGGTGGTACAGACCAATAGTATTTTGCAGCTATTTTACTGGAATAATAACTCCCACAACTCCCGTTGTCGATGAGTGTATCGTAGATATAGGTAATCCGGTAAAAGATGTAGCAACAAGAGATGAAATGACAAGTTTTAATGGAGTTACGGTGCGTTTTCTTTTTTAAACCGACTGGTGAACTTTTTTAGGTGACCCTTTTCCTCACGAGAGTTATAAATGACTTCCCAGACTGAACATTCCGAACGCGGGTGCCAGTTTTTTCCGCAAATAAAGTAGTTCGTAGTTGTCGTTGCAATCACTTCTTTGGCTTCTAGTTGTGGCTCATGAGCACCTGGAGAGATGGCTAAAATGGTGGTTTTGATCAGCTCCGACGTAACCCACACGGCCCACAAGTAGTCGAATCATAGAGAAGAGACTGCTTCTGAGCATGCTCCGACCTACGGGCTTCATCAGAAGTGAGTTGGAGGTCTAGCATTTGCTTTTCAAGAATCCGTTGTTGAATAATATTAGAATGCAACTCTGTGATGAATGTGTCACCGAGAGCGTCATCGTGCACTGATCGACAGAAACGGCCTGAATATTGCATTCTTTAGCGGAACAAAGTGAATTCTGTGGGAATCGGTCCACTGCCTGATCGGGTTCTTGTTTGGTTGTAACTAGTAAGTGCCGAGAAAACGCTTCATTCTTCGGCTTAATGTGGGTCAGTTCAGTAATGTGTGTGCCATCCTGATAGTTGAGATAGTCAGGCACGTGCTGATAGGCGGACGGGAAAATAAAGTTTGAGACGTTTTCTTTCATCGAGATTTAGCACATCAGTGGTAAAAAGGAGGTCTGCGATCGTTTCGTGCCAGTGAGTTAACTGTTCGGCTGTGGACAGAAAATGTAGATCAGCCTCAAAGCGTTCCGGATGGAATAGACGTTCCACGAATTGTTAGATTCATTTTTTAAACTCGAATGTTTGACCGATGATTGTCGAGTGGTTTAGAGCGTTTGATTACCACCTCCGAGGTCTGAGGTTCAAATGTACGCCACGACCGGTTACTTTGATGATAGACAGTAATCCACTATCGTCCGGTTCCTTACCACACCTGACCTATTGAGACCTTATGTGGTTATTCACTCAACGTCTCAGGGTCTAGGTGCCAGTTATCCCTAATAGCGCAGTGGGCCTTTGTGGCTATGGGACATGCCCCTTCCTGTACACTAATGCGCAGACGTAATGAAAACGATATAATCGGCATATTCTAAGTCAGAAACTGTTCGTTGGGAATGGTCCCACTGCACCGTCTGGAAGACTAGATGAGGCATCCCGTAGGACATTTTTTGTGACAAAGTTAAAAAGAACTGGTCATATAGAACAACCTTCCTGTACTTCACTGGAGACCGTTAGGGTTGGTCAAAGGCTAGCTTAAGGCCTTAACTCAACGTGACGTATGACGGCACGACTGACTATGGATCGACATATACTTCTGAATTACTACATTTTTCAATAAACAATCCCGCAGTGCAGTCCGATTGACAGAGTCGACGACCGCGCTTATATCTAAGGACACATGCATCTTTGGCCTCTGGAAGGTATGGCGGTGCTGTATTAACTATCGGAGAGTGATGCTTTGCTCAATACATACGCGACCGGTGCGAAACCCAGCCTGTTCTTCGGGACTCTGTTCTTCACACTGTGGCACAGCTTGTGAAGTATGGCAGACGCAAGCAGCTCCGACGCTATAAGGCTAAGGTTGATGTCCTTATGATTGTCTAAGTCACTACTCCAAGCTTTTCTTGAAGACGGGGACAAATATCAACTCCCTCAGCAAGGGTATATATATATATATATATATATATATATATATATATATATATGGAATAGAACTGTGTCGTAGTCAGCGGTGACAACTTAGTCCATCTCGATCCATTCAGAAAACAAATGGTGTATGCTTCCATCACTGGAAATAGTGGCTAAGGTACTGCTCTCCATTTTTTTGTTAGAGCCACTTCCACCGTAAATCGATCCAACAGTATTGATCGAGGTCCGCATTTACATGCATGTATGCATAGTTTCCACATTTCCCGCCTCATCGGACAGTGAAACCCAAATAAAACATAGCTACTTAGAAATCTTACTCACCGACTTGGTATGTTGCTTCCACTGATAGGATAAGGTTTGGTGTTCTATGGTCGTCACGACGCCTGACCAACTGGAACCTTATGCGATTTACCACTCTAAGCATCCGGATCTGCTTTCTCGTTATCCCTAATAGTGCAGCAGGCTTTTTAGGCTTCGGGGTGTGCCCGTTCCGCTGCACTCATGAGAGAGCATGTAATAATAAAAAAGCAAATGCATGCAATCCATTCTAACATAGCCTCATCCACTCTATCCGAATTAGTTCTTCGCGCAAGAAGGTTACTACTTGTTCGCGTATGAAAATATTTAAAATACTAAGGCATCGCTAATAATAGCAAAACTACAATAAGCCGTACCTTACGTTGATTGGATTAGCTCACTGCAACTCAGCTGGTCATGTCAGTAAATCATCTGAATTTGAAATCTCTATGAATAGGTACTCCATGGGGATGAATCCATTGCGTCTCCAACGGAACAAAAAGTATTTGAACAAGAGCCTTATTAAGCGAGCACCACGTTCACGGCGTGGACACCAGTAAAGTCAATCAGAGTTACATGCATACGCATGTGTAAAGGGAACGTACATTCGGCGCAGACCAACCAAGCAAATCTGTTTGGTCAACGCAGTCCGGATTCAAGCATGGCTAACATGAACCCTGTGTGTATACTGGCAGACGTGTGTCTTTGTGAAAGATCAAACAATCTTCCCGTGGCGTATGCGTGTACGTGCATATCTATGTGCATGTGAAAGGTTAAACCGGACAACAAAATCATTGCTTTCTCTTCCCAAAATATCTGAGACCATAATCAGACTGCTGAAGCCCTGGTTTTCTGTTTACGTAAATAGGCTGGCAATCCATTTCGAGATTTGTCTGTGTGGCACACTGCTCGTTGGTTTTATCCCCCTGAAAAACTTTCATTTAGTTTTTTACGGCAATAGTAGTAACCTTTTTAAACCACATCCGTATTTCAGGAATCTTCTTCTACAACACGCCGCATGGGGTTTGTCACATACACGGGTTCCGACCGAGTCCAGGCCTGGGCATGTTGCTATGTTAGGAGGGTTCTATGAAGATGTGGCATCCATCACCAAAGGTCAGTTCTGTATTCCTCATTAGACATAAACAGGGATCTCTGTGTCTCTGACCATTTCTGAAATTTTAATTTTTTCTTCCTCGTTGCCCATTCGATTACTATTGAACATTCCCCTCGGAATTGCGTCTGCTCGTTAGGTTGGCAAGCTAATGCGGTTGAGTTTGACTCACTGTTCAATCGTACTCTGCGTGGTTGGGCCTGGGGAACGCACGAGGTGGTGCAACTTTTTGGTCATGGTCGTTCTGGTTTCGTGAAAATCGAAAGTTCCCCGGACGAGCTGGGCGATTTGACGAAACACAATATGACGGAACTGGACACATGGGTGGTCGAACGATTCATTGTAAGCTCGATTTTTGTCTCTCTCCACCTTAGTCACATGCCGGTATGTCCTCTTTTATGCCGTCGTCATTTTTCCTTGCTTGCATTATATTGAGAGTTTACTGCAGTACATTTTTGAATTATGTCATTTGCAACAATGATAGGATCAAATAGGTAGCAGGAGATTTGGTTTATATATGATATACTTTATCAGGCGGTATCAACACTCAAATAGCCATTGAAAACCACGGAAGCACTATGCAGCGGTATAGCTCCTTCTTCCTTGTTAGGAATGATCATCAGCTGGGGTGCACATCCACCTAGCTCCCAAGTGGGACTCCAGCTCGGGGTGAAAGATTGTGAGTTGAACACTCAACGACCAGGCTATCCGGGCTGGCTGTCAATGGTTTGCTTAGCTATGTACTACAACGCCCTTCTGTCACTGGCTTTTCTGAGCGGCGACAACCCGTTGTCCGCACAACGGTCCACTCCTACAATGGACGGCTTCTCTGTGAGAGCGTAATTGCGACGAAAGCATCCCGCGAAGACCAACTAACAATGCTTGAGTACTTAGTCAGTTTGGGTAGCAGGCTGTTTGATTTTGATTTTTCGTCGTGCAACTATAGTGAATGATTTATATGTATTGACCATCTTTTTCAAGTAAGTGGCGGCTTTTTCAGAAGGGTCTCAGTTGTTCGTCTTACGATTGCTTTCACTGAAGCCGTAAGTTGTGTAGTTTAGCAGACCAAATTGAAATCGGTGTTCATCCGATGAAGCTCGTCTGTTCCAGTCACAATTAATTACGGCGCTTTTTCTGTGGACCCGTATGTCTTGTCACAATAGGCACTGTCCACCTCACTTGTTCAGTTATTGTCGTTTGATCTGTATCGCACAATGACTGTCTTAAATGAACCGCGGTTGTTCTTTTTATTGATTACTGTCTACCAGTTCTGCAGCATCTCGTTTGTGTTTCTCATTAAGTTGTCAAATCCGAAAAGAGGTTCTGATAATATCAGAAACAAATTTTCCAGTAGATTTCAATGAACCTAATTTTGTATCTTGCGTGACCCTCATCCTCGAACTAGTGAACCCCAAGGTCGCGCTAACAAGTCTCTTTGGCGCATTTTCCGTAGTTAGGGTCTTATCCTCTGAGTTTTCATTCTTTAGGAATCATTGAAAGACGACAAATCCGGTTTCTTTTCACAAAACTCGACGGGACTTCTCGAGGAGGATCAAATGCGTCGTGGTCATTTGGCGTTTTTGCATTTGGATGCGGCCGATCACGTAGGTCACTCATTCAAACCCTCTTCAGAAGAATACCGTGAAATGGTACGCCATCTGGACACTCTTATTGCACGTGTTGTCGAGGCTGTCAATCAGTCCCAAGGATCGAACCGAGTGGCATTCGTGTTCACGGCGGATCATGGGATGACTGAATGGGGTAAGTTGCTGCCCCGCGCCTGCAGCGTCCCCTTTGCTATTTATCCAGGTTCACTTCCATGGCTCTCAGTATTGAGTTGAGTGTTGATACAGCAAGGTGAATCATACTATAACTGTTCTGTGACTGCTCAGTGGTTCTGGGAAGAAAACCTCTCTGCCTCCAGACCATCTGGTTTCATTACCACAAAATAGGTACTTTATATAGGATGCTAAATGACCACCGTCAAAACATTGTGCTAAGTGCATTGGTCCATAAACGGATCTTCTGACTGACTGTTTTAGTTACAAACCCAACTGGCTGGTTTCGTCTCTCTCGATTAGAATAACTGTTAACAGCTGATTGGTTAATTTCGGTCCGTTTTGTCACAAACTGATTGGGCCATCGATGTGCTACGTCGGCTACAGCTCTTACAGCGATTTGGGACATACGATGACGAACTGTCTGCTGACGGGACTAAGCCATCTTTCGGCAGTGTGCGAATCTCGCGATGCGTATGTGTATATGTGTATCTCACAGTTATTTGCAGGTAGTGTGTGAGATTGATGATACTTTGCCTAACTGGCTGTTCACTGGACTCTACTTTTCACGCACAAACCTCGGGTCATTCCACCAACCCTGCACTCAGAAGTACCAGACTCGAGTTTCGCTCGTGTTAGAGCTAGTCAATGATGCGCATTCTGCGCCACACCGAAGGCTTGAACCCGGGTCTTCTCATTTCGGAGGCGTGTGTTACCACTGCGTCACCCCGCCTCTATCCGAGCTGACCCGAATCACCGAGTTAAGTTGGTTCAGATATCATCCTCTGTGACAGCCAACAATGCCCGACAGCTTCAAAGGGAGATACGGCAATTGTCCCGTTATCTCCAAGCGGATGCCTCCCACCAAGTCAGGTCTCCGCAGGATGGGTACGTACCCATATTTAAACCTTCTTCGCCTTTTTGATATTTTTATATATCTCACCATTACTTGCAAGTAATGTGTGCGTGCTTGATGATACTCTGTCTAACTGACTGTTCTTTGGACTCCACTTTTGACGCACAAACCTCAAGAGCTAAACTCAAGTCTGGTGCTTCTAAGTACGGGGTTGATCGGATGATCTGAGGTTTGTGCATGAAGGGTGGAGTCCAAAGGGCAGTCAGCCACGCAAGCACTCATTGTGGGTCAACAGTTTCTGCTCGCGTACTGGGGATCTCAGTCTACTTATCAAAAAAAGCCTCATGAAAGGCTGACCTTTGGGTTCCGATTTTGTGCAGTCGCTCGGACTGCTCAACCTAGATCGATCTGATGACAAAAGGTCACATTGCATTTTGCGATCAATGAAGCCGGGTTTCTCATGGCTGTTTGCTGTCCGGACAAGGAATGACTCATCATCGTCATTTCGGTAAATGCTGCCCCATTCTCTGACTGAGACACCTATCCGTTCTGCCGCAGGTGAACTGATAAATGATGAGGCTAAATGGGCCGCGGGTTTTTGGAGAGGACCTCCAAGATCGTCATTTGCTGCGGGGTTGGATGAGCGAATTATCGACCGATGATCAGATGCGTTCCCTCATTCAATTGGCTTTTAATTAAGGGAGACTGAGTTTTGATTACAATACGTTTCACCCTAATTGTAAACAGACTGGTTACGAAATTCGAGGGAACGTGTTCCAGTGGGAATCAATAGATGTGTTATGCCAGGGTAACAAAAAGTGAGCCTAACGCATACAGACAGCAAATAATTGAAAGTGTACAAAAGCGAAGTCAGCGAAAATGCAAACAACTAAATAAATGTGACATTATCAAAATCAGGCGTCAGAGTAGATCATGGACAAAAATATCTATTTATAAAGTTACCAAAACCCATTAGCTTCTCACTTGTTGACGAGGAGTTCCGTTGCCTACTGCAACTGCACCTTCAACTGAAGAACTGGCAGATATGTGTCTCTGAAAAATACTACAGAACACCTCGAGAAGAAACAACGTGGCGAACAAGCTCGTTTTCGGTTGTTCGTACTCATGCCAACACATAACATTATACATGACTCAAAATAAGAAAAGGAAATGATGATCCAAATCTCTCTGTACGTACGTGTGTGCATATGAAATTGATCACAGTGTGGTTGCACACGTTCGAGAACGAGACGTGGGCCAAGGGAGCTTAAGTGCAAGTATTAGTTCATTACAGTATACCGGGTACTGGACAAAAACAATAACCGGGTTCAACCCGTAGTCCGATGGATGAGTTCGGCATTACTTAGGGAACATATATCACTGCAAAAGCTACGTCGGCCTTGATAGAGTAAACGCCGTTAAGTGGGCAGTTCATATTGTAACAAGGACGACAACACGGGTAGGATACTTGTGTTCCAACGGCCTAACAAGTCAAGTCCATGAAACACAGTCGTTTATATAGGCCCTTTTCCAGACTGCGCGGCACCAACATTGCTGTTGAGGCTGCTTGAGTGCTTCGGCTGCGTTTTGGGCAGTCGCCCGTGGCCGATAGCTTGTTTCTCTCAGGCAACATCTCTGTTCGGTTGGTCCAGTTATCTCAGTTGACGGCTTGATAGGCGGCCCCTCATCTGGGCTATCTTGCTGGTTGCTGGAGATCCCGCTGCTTTCCCTCTGCTAGTCCGTATGCCTCTTTTTGTCTGATTCGGGAAGCCTCCGATATATTCGCCGTCTGTTCTTTTGTCTGTGGCCCTCGTTTGGTTCGTCCATTCGCCTTGATATTCACCTCATTCCCTTGCCCCAGCATTCCCCGTTACAATACGATGAATGAAAGATATTCAGAGCCGCACCATTGCACGGGAATCTTTGTGTATTGGGCTTCCACGAGATCCATATAACTAGTGGTCGTAGGCAGACAGGAATATACGACTACATATCATGACAAGTGATAAATCTCATTTCTTAGTTCGGTCGCTGCTGAGAAGTAGCAACCAGAACAGCCATAATCCAATAACCACTAATGTTTATTCCCACTTAACTAGATTCATTGAAGTCTTTCACATCCAGGACACCAATGTAAATATACGACAGTAAACTTTGAACGTGTTAGCGATAAACACTGTCCCAATGGATGACATACCGTTGATCAGATACTACGCAAGTTGCTATTGAACTTGAGTTTTTAGGCCATACTAAATTGACCAACATGGCCCGTGTATTCACAATGAACGAGTTCATATTGGTTTATATACCACTAACAGTCCACTCAATTTACATACACAGCTATATCCGACCACTTTGTGGTTGAAAAAGCACCTTCGAATGCATAATTTGCAAATTCCGGTGTCGTTCACCGATTTCTAAAGCGGACAATGCCACGCAATTTTTCTCGCGAGAATTCAGAAAATGCCAAAATCTAACTACTACCACTGTTTTCAGTAGTAGTATTAGAAATTCGAAGCTCTGGGGCTCTGATCGTTCCCAAAGAACACACCACAAATTGTTCCTGAGCCCACAGGAGAGGATTGTAAAGACGAGTATTCAAGGCTTCAGCGGTCGCTAAGATGCGACACTTGGCAAGTCTTGATTGCTTGCCCCGGACTTTGTAAATTGTGCGAAAAACGTTTATCACCTCGACTGAGTGGTTGGACTCAACAGGGTGTGAACACACAGCACCCGTAATAGTCTTTATTGCTCGCGTGTTCAGCCAAACCGGGTTGTGTTCACAAACACGTTCGGTTGAGTGTCTAGTCGTGCAGCCAATTTACATAGTTAAACGGGAACGGGTTAATGAATGCCCACATAAAAAGGTTTCGGAATTCGGCACCATACCCTTTAGTCAAAAACACAATCGGTTTGAAAACGAACATAATCTGTAACTGAGTGGCATAGAATGTTTTATTGGTTGCTCCTGATAATCTCCAGTGAATAATTTCGGCTTCCGCATTGCTTTGAACGGCATACGCTCATACAAATACTTCCTTGCGGCTCCTATCTCCTTTGATCTCTCTTCATTTCCTTGCATCGTCCTGTCAATAAACCGTCCAGGATAGCCGTTTGTGAGGAAACAGTCCCCAGAATAGGAAGTTCATTTCTTATGATGTCTTTCGATCAGATTTTTCTTGCTTTGTTAACCAAGGAACATATGAGATTCCTCTTCATTTCGTGGGGTACAAAGCTGTGAAAATGGATGTATTGCCCGTTCCATGTAGCTTTTCTATGCACTGATAACTGAACGGAGCAATCGCTCCGACGGCTTGTGCGTACGTCTAAATACGGTAGACTGTTGCACGTTTCTTCTCCCAGTGCAAATTTGACATTTAAAAATGGGCAGCATTAAAGTTGTTAAGAAGGAGGTTTTTGTCCAGATGTGTGTCTGTCACACATATGATGTCGTCTGCGCATCGTTTGTACACAGTAAAATCTCGGATTATGGACTCGCTGATTATTTTCAAATTTCGCCATGAAAATATTGGCAGATAAGGGTTGCAAAGGTGATCCCATTGGCACTCCGTCCTTTTGGCGATAAATTTCACCATTGAACTGAAACTGGATATCATGTGTGCAGACAAATAGTAACTGTTACAGCTCATCCAACGGGATACCTAAGTTGATTTCGTTACCCTGAATGTATTCGCACAGAAGGTGGATTGTGTCAACGGTTGGGAAATTTGTGAACAATAAAGTAACATCAAGTGATATCATTTGCTTTTTCTCTAGATCCTGGTTCCTCACAGTTTCTACAAAATCAAATGTGTCTTGTAGACTGAGTCCAGAAATTGTCCCTCTTACTGATTCCAGTAAGCTACTCAACCACTTTTTTGCTGCGTGATATGGAGAGTTACACATGTCCAAAATCGGTCTCAATAAGACACCTTTGTGTACCTGCGGTAGGCCGTATAACCTGGGAATTGTCGTCCCGGTTGGTCGTATCATTTCGAAGGTCACCGCGTCGATTACTCCTTTCTGCTTCAAGTATCTTATTCTCAATTGAGTAGTAGGAGATTAGATTTGTGTAATATGATTCATCATACAGCTTCAACGCTCAACTCACCGTTGAAAACCATGGA